CCTGAAGTACCCCCTTACTAACAATAAAAGAATCATTTTTTTTTTTATTTATTTTTTTTTAATTTTTTTTTTTTAATTTATTACATTTGAAAAAGAAGTTGTACTTCGAAACATATGTCATGTTAGTGTTACATTTGAAAAAGAAGTTGTACTTCGAAACATATGTCATGTTAGTGTTTTAGTGTTTTTTAAAAATTTTTATATTTTTAAAATAAAACTGTGAAAATCTACCAAATTTGGTTTTACTCTTTCAAGAATAAAAGAATCATATAAATCGGACAAGGTGGTAAAGCATTATCGCTAAACATACATAAAAAATTATAAGTTTGGGGATTTTCTCATGGGCCCAATTATTAGATTTTGACCAAATTTATACGGGACCACCCCTGAAGTACCCCCTTTCTAACAAAAAAAGAATCATTGAAATCGGACACCGTGTTAAAGAATTATCGCTGAACATACATAAAAAAATTTTAAAAAATATTACGACGAATTGAGAACCTCCTCCTTTTTGAAGTTGTTTAAAAATAGGAGTAAAAGTTTATATAAACATAGGTCCGAAAACGTTTCGTTTTTGAGATACAGGGTGTTACAAGTGAAGTCCAGATGGAACATTTTTGTAAATATTTTCTAAAATTTCTTTAGTTACCGGTTTTCCAAAGTTAAAAAAAATAACATTTCTGATTCTACAAACCTACTAATTATTGTTTACATTTTCGAATAAGGTAACATGCTTTTCTCTTGAAAATGGCGCGTCCTAGCGAGATACAACAAATACATCTTTATTATACAGAAAATATTGGTTTCCCAAATTTTATAGTCAAAAATGTTAAAAACTATCAACAAAAAAAACAAAGCAATTTTACCCTAAGCTCCCTCTAATTTACCCACCTAAGAATATGATCAAAAACTGGGGTTTAGTCCAATAAATGGAGCGTTAAAAGGTAAGTATTTGTACCAAATTTTACCTAATTATCTTTAAACGTTTAGAAAATATTTACAAAAGTGTGGTATCAGGACTTCACCTTTAACACCCTGTATCTTGGAGAAGAAACGTTTTCGGACCTATGTTTATATAAACTTTTACTACTATTTTAGGATGTAGATTACGCTGTTAAAATATGACAGTCTAATTTCGGGACACTCTGTATATCCATTCAAAAGGAAAAACTTGTATTTCGTGCAAAACTTTTTTATTAATCAATGCAAAGCGCTTTCGGCTTATTTGCCATCATCAGTGCTCATTGTCCACAACGTATCCAACAAGTTCTTGGTCATCCTCACTCCCAAAATTATATATTTCGGGATATTTACAACTTGCTAAATCATAATTTTATTAATATTAATATTTTCAAATTTAAATTTCTCTCTTCATTTTGGTTCAAGTTGTTTAAACGTTTCCACATGTGTACTGACAATTACATTGAAATCAAGCTGTCAGTTTGTAAATTTTTGAAATAATAAGACAAAAAGTTACGTTGGAACGAAATTTTAGGGGTTGCGTTTTCCACCCCTTACAACCATGGGGTAAAGCAAATAAATTACTGGCTAAGTGTCTTTTTGGTAGTAGAAAATGATAGGTTAATTTCAATATTGTAACTTGTTTAGTGCTTGTGAAAAACATTGTTAAACAAATTTTATGTACCCCCTTTAAGGGGCTGTATCTTAACAAGAGATGCTCCAATGAAGTTTCTTAATAAAAAAGATCCTATCTTTTTTTTTTTTTCGATGAGAAATCACCTCCTTAAATGTTTTACACTTATTTAGTTACACCCTTTATACCTGTGTTTATGTAATTGTAATCGGACCTTACCCAATCCTTTGATTATTCTTCAGCGCACGACAAACGACATTACCAAATTTATGTAGCGAACAAGGTTCCAAATACTTTAAGGGGAGGTCGTTAGATCCGTGCGGTGTGACGTCAGAAGGGACTGGATTGCTCTTAATAAATTTATTTTTACGTCAATGTTAATCAATCACAAATTTAATATACTCTATGTAGTCTATGTTGCGCAATAAAAAATATTCCCTGTGTATATATATGGAGCGAAAAATTGTCTGTTTGTTCTGGGTAACATGAAGGTTAGAATGAGCCCTGCGATTTACCATTATAGTTTTGGTTCCATTTTTCTGGGAACTCATTTACACCTACACAAAAGTTGTGTTGAAAAATCGTTTGAAGTTCAAAAACCCATAATTACTGTTCCTCTAGAACAGTGCTCGCCAACCTGTCGATCGCGAGCTACCGGTAGCTCGCGTAGGCAATTCTGGTAGCTCTCACAACGATTTTAATTAAACAAATAGAAACTGCAAAAATCAGAGAATCTTCCGAAAATTCCACAAAAAAATCTAATTGTCATAATATTAAACATAAACAACGGCAACGTTGCGGTGAGCGATCTGCCGCTGACGCCATCAAGCTAGAATCGGCTAGAACCGACCAGCCGGACCAGCGCGTTAGTGTTCGAGAACGTTCAGAATTGCTTTGAACGGGATAAATACGCACGGCGCGGCGACATTGCGCTTAGTTTAAAACTGAACGCGTAACCAACGTCCAGCGGTTGGGTTAGTAGGTTAGTAACAAAAAATAATATTATGGCAAGCAGTTGTAAGAAGGTAAAGACATACCACTTTTATTCGGAATAGGAAGAACAATACTTTTTTACAGAAGTTAAAGATAAAAATGTATGTTTGTTATGTAATACTTCGATCTCCGTTGCTAAAAAAGGAAATATTGAGAATCATAAAACTGTATATTCTAATTTTGAAAAATCATTCCCACTACATTCTGCCGCCAGAAAGGAGAAACTGAAACAATTAAAAAAGCAGTTAATTGGACAACAATCAATATTTTTAAGAACGGTCGACAAAAATAAGGCAGCAACTGAAGCATCGTACCGTGTGTCCCAGATAACTGCACAAAAAAAGAAACCTTATGAAGACGGAGAAATGATAAAACAGGCGTTTTTAGAAGCTGCTGATTCGTTATTTGCCAACTTTAGAAATAAAGACGAGATAGTTTCAGCTATAAAATCTATGCAACTTTCTGCTAATACAGTGATGAGACGTGTAGAAGTAATGAGCAATGATATTTTTTTACAGTTAAGAACTGTGTTTATTTTTCACTTCAACTGGATGAATCAACAGATGTCGTTGACACTGCCCAGATGGTCGTGTTCGTCAGGATGGGTTTTAGTGATTTTACGATTAAAGAAGATCTTTTGAAGTTTATTCCACAAGGACATACTACTTGACAGGAGTTGTTTTCTCATTTAAAAAATATTATTTCTTCCGAGAAAATTCCAATATCGAGAATGGTAGGCTTGACAACCGATGGCGCTCCAGCTATGGTGGGTTGTGATAAGGGCCTGGTGGCATTATGTCGTAAAGATGAAACTTTTCCGCAATTTCTCTGTTACCACTGCATTATCCATCAGCAAGCATTATGTGAAAATTTCTTGAAACTAAACAACGTTATGAAACTGGTGGTAAAAATTATGAACAAGATTAGAGCTCAAGCGTTACAAAGAAGATTATTCAAAACCTTGGCCGATGAAGTTGACTGTCAATACGGGGACCTACTCCTTCACTCTGAAGTCCGATGGTTAAGTAGAGGACGGGTGCTGAAACGTTTTAATGATGTCCTATCTGGCATAGTTCAATTTTTCAAACAACGCGATGAACCGACTCCGGAACTAGAAAATTCAATCTGGCTTAGAGATTTTGGTTTTCTCGTGGACATTACAGAGAAATTAAACGAACTTAATTTGCAGCTTCAGGGGAGAGACAAAGAACTAGCGGAAATGATTTCTGATATAAAAGCATTTATCAAAAATCTGGAGTTTAGGGAACAAAACCTAAACAGCGATGCCAAGCATCAAAATCCATTAGAACCATATGACAGCAAATATCATGTAGAAATAGTTTCTACCCTGAAGAATAACTTCAAAAATCGTTTTAAGGATTTCAACGAAATGGCTTTAGTAGCGCAGTTTGTTGTTTCACCCTTTATCGAAATTGATATCCAACAGTTTGCAACTTCTGTTATGCAGAACTTTGACGAAAACATCGCTGCGACAGAAATGGAAGTAATTGAGTTTCAAAATAATTTAGCCTTAAAATCGTTAGTCTCAAGTACCAAATGTATCTGGCCTATTGTAAGTAAAGACAAATATTCAGTTCTATGCCGTGTTGCCTTGAAAGTGAAAGCAATATTCAGTTCAACCTATTTGTGTGAATCTTCTTTTTCCAATATGAAGTTTATTAAGAACAAATATCGCAATCGACTTACAGATGAACATTTGGATAATTGTATTCGAATGGCTGTATCAAATTATACTGCAAAAATTAAAAAAATTATCGATGAGTCTGAGTGTCAGTCTTCTCATTGAACGTGCTTTTTTATTTTTCAATGTTTATGTTCATGATAGTGCGTTACTTTTTTGTTGTTATTATTAACTATTTTTAAATCTTACGTGTTATGCCGTTGTGGTTGGATAAAAGTTTGTGTTTATTTTTCAAACACCTTCGTTTGGTAGGTAGGAATGTAGCTATGAACAAGTACGTACTAGTAATATTAGTTATTTTGTTATTAGTTTATTATTAGTACCTATGTATTATGTATTACCAGTTAAATAGTAAAATAAATACATAATATAATGAAAAATTAACTGTGGATTATTTCATTTACGTTGCGTTGCGTGGCTTCCGTGTGGGTAGCTCGCTGCTTATTCCAAAATTAACAAAGTAACTCAACACATTGAGAGGTTGGCGACCACTACTGTAGAAAATACCGTCAAGTTATTTCTATATTGTTTAAAATTCGTATAATTCCTTCAACAAAAAGTTATATTGTTTTCAGAAACAGAAATATAAGCTATTTCCATTATTAGTTGAGATATATTTACTCGCTAATATTCGATAATAAAACAACAATATCGATGTGTTTTCAGTACAACGAGATTACGGATTACAGTTACCGCTGTAGCACTACTTACCTTTTGACTTGTTTCTGGTTCAGCTGCGGATCCGATTTCCAGGAATTAGGTCGAATCTGCAACAAAGAGACCACTAACTGTTAATTCTCTCACATGCATATAATTGCAATAGAAGTAATTTTAATCAATGCCTATTGCTCGCCGTTAAATAATACTTTTATGGTATGAATAACTGTTTCGATGTGGGAGTTGAACAAGACCTTCCAGTAAAACTACTATAGAGTTGTGCAATTTGAGCGGTGTCTTTCTAAATGATTTATTATAATAATAACAGACCTTTAAGAAGAGGCTAGTCGGGAACAGAGATACACGGTGAGTCAATTCGAAAACAATATCGGAAAAATTAAGTAATTCACTAATGGATTATATTTTTAATGGTTATTTAACGAAAAAGTATATTAATAAGGGCGATTAACAATTGAGATAATTTAATGTTAGAGATTGTTAATCGGCATTTTAATTCACGAGCTCTCTACAGAACTTTTCAAAAATAAAGATATCATCTCACTTTCAATTTTTATTTATTCGTCAATATCCATCTTTTCATTTTAAACTATACATAGAGTTTTTGAATTTTAAGAAATTAAATAAAGACATACAATGAAAGGATTAACACACCTTGATATCAAAAGTATATGTATGTTTGGTTGCCTACACCATAGGTAACTGTCAATATAAATGTATAATAAGAGCAATGCACGTTGGGTTGCATAGAATAAAATCGTTTATTAATAGAAAATCATTCAATAATAGGGGTCATTAATCAACGATTTTGAGTGCGTTAAAATACATTATAAATGGTCGGTCGACGGAAATATTTTATTAACGCATTTTCGCTGTACAGGGTGTCCCAAAAAAGTAAGCCAATCTCTGAAGCATAGATTCCTTAGGTCACTGTATTAATTTTTTCGATTTGGGCCATCATGTTCAATATACAGAGTGACAATGTTCATTTTAAAATTACGTTAATTTTTGTCGTTTTGTCAAGGAGATGGCTTAAACTTGATACACCGGGGTTTTTTGGAATAACAAATCATATTTTGAGACATAAAACTGTAAACCCACCTATTAAAAGGAAATAGTTTATTACTCGTCAAACATTAAAATGTTAACAAGTAAATAAATTATAATAGTATTTAATTTTAAAACTTAGATACTAATAAAACATCTCTGTATTATATCTGCAAGGTAGGGAGGGTAAGTTGTTCCACGCACTTAGGCCTCATAAGATCTATTTTGCATCCTGCAAGGGCATATAGGATGTGACACCCACCACTAATGGACATCGACCTCCCCCAAAGAACCTTACAAACCGCTGCTCTTTCTCCGTTAAGCCAATATTTTTTCGAAAAATACCAGGATATGTCGGACTCGGGCATATATTTTAATTAGGTTAGGACAGGATAGGGTCTGAATAACAATTGAGGTTAAAATTATATTACACATTGAAATTAAAATTTTACTTTTCAAGCCCTTTGTTTGACAAACAAATCTATGGCCTTATCATAATTAATTTGATGAGCAATTTGATTTTCTATTACTAATATGGCAAGACTTGATAAACGTTCCTGGCTCATCGAAGATCGTAGATAATTTTTGATAAGTTTAAGTTTGCTAAAACTTTGCTTGCAGCTTGCGGATGTAGTAGGAAGCGTACAGTAAATTCTCAGAGCAATACAAATATTGGGAAAGGCATCCTGCAAATCATGCGTATAAATCTGTTGCAAGAGATTGAAAGCGCTAGCATTTTTTATATCTCCAAATAAAAGTGTACTTTACTCTTTAAACGTAGAGTTCCTGGCAGAATTCAACCGCGTTCAAATCTCGCTCGTATTTTCGTCCCAGATCTGCTCTATGCTTTTGCAATTCTTCATTTGACATATTCAAAATTTTAGTACAATTTAGAAATACGAAATTCGAATTCAACGTGGTAGCACTATCAACCGTCTTTTTAATTTCTGATAAGATTGTATCAAATACCATCATTGTTGAACTGGTTAAAGTGTTCGTGACTCGTTATCACACATCTCGTCAAATTGTTTTTTAGACCTCGGAATTCGTTTATTTGGCAAAATAGGTTCGACGCCAATTTTTCCAGCAAACTTCTTTAGCCTCTTCTATCCAATATTCAATTGAATTTTCTCTCATTTTTTGTAAAGTTTTCATCAGGCTATCCATTAAAGAGACAAAACGCGCAAGGATTATATCTTGCTTTTGAATTTCAATATTCACTCGATTGATTTCGCGGAGAATATTTGCCCAAATCGTCAAGTTCAATATAAATTTAAAATTCTTTATTGCATTTAAGAGACTATCTGCCTCGTACTTTGTTTCCGGAGCATGAAAAGTTTGCTTAAGTTCTTCCAACGATTCCACCACTTCCGGCAAATTATTTAAGAGGGCTTTCACAGCAACATGTTTTGCCGACCATCTCGTCTGACTGCTTCCTTTTAAATTGGTTTTAACAAATTTCTTTATAGTATCCCATCGAGTAGTAGAGCCGACAAAAAAGCAAAATACTTTTTGAATTAATCCAAATAGATTTATTGCTTCCGGGCATGATGAAGCAGAATGGACACCGACAAGAATTAAGGAGTACTCCAAACACGGTACGAACTCGGCCAGCTCATTCCTTTCTGTAATCCTGGCTTGCACTCCGTTATAGGTGCCAGCCATATTTGATCCATTATCATAAGATTGGCTACGATATTGTCTGATATCTAAACCACCAACTATCAACTTTTCCATTATCTGTTGACAAATGTGCTCTCCTGTCTTTCCAGCAACTTATATAAAGTCAATGAAACTTTCTTTTATTTCACATACATCACCAGTTTTTTTTTTACATAGCGAATAACCTGGCTCATTTGGTCTGTCTGCGACATATCTGGAGTGCAATCGAACATTATTGTATAGTATTTGGCTTCTTTGATGTCGTTTAGAATGCTATTTCTGACTGTATTTGCCATTATGTCAATAATTGCATTCTGTATTATTTTTGACAAATATGATACTTGTCCCTATTTTAAGTTTTCTAATTGAAACTTAAAAGTTGAATTATGTTTGGAGAGAAGCAAAATTAAATTTAAGAAATTTCCTTGACCAGGCTGGGGACATTGTGTGATGATAGCATTACAATTAATCATTTCTAGTTGCAAATTGACTATGAAAAGGAGCAGCAAAAATTGATGCGTCTCTGGGAAGAAGATTCAGATCAAGATGAGGATGTTGTGGAATATATATCTGAAGGCAGTAATGACGTTCAAGAAGATGACTCCTCCGATGATGACAGAAGTCCCGTTAGAACACCAGCAAAAATTCCTAGAGCTTCGTTTTATTTGGACAAAAATGGAACAAGCATGCTCCAAATCAGGCAGTGAGAACTCGATCCTGGAATATAATAAGTCAAGTTCCTGGTACAAAAGGTATTGCTTGACAAACAAAAGTCATTTCGAGTGCTGGAATCTCTTCATCAACGATGAAATACTCGATATCATTGTAGAGCATACAAATTTCTACATAGCAACAGAAACTTAGAATTACAAAAGAGATAGGGACTGCAAGGAAACAGATAAAATTGAAATAAAAGCCTTTATTGGTTTACTATACTTGTCAGGGTTACAGAAAAGCTCCAAGTTGAGCGTTGACGAGATATAGGACAGAAACTGAACCAGAATAGAAATGTTCTAAGTCACAATGATCAAGCAACGATTTCTATTTCTCTTGAGGCATTAATGTTTTGACGATTGTACTACCAAAGAAGAGTAAAAGAAAACAGATAAACTAGCGCTAATTCGAGAAGTCTTTGATATATTTGTATTTAGTTGCCGAAAGCATTATTCTATTTCACAGAACGAGAGAATAGATGAAATGCTTCTTGGTTTTCGTAGTAGATGCGGTTTTAGACAATATATACCTTCTAAGCCAAACAAGTATTGGCTATGAGTATTGTTGTACGTCTGGTAGCCCTAATTTCCGGAACATCAAGAAACCTCACCGCTGATAATTGGTTTACCTCTGTGCCATTAGTTGAACATTTGCTGATATACCATAACCTGACTCTTGACGAAACGATTCGGAAAAATAAAAGGGAAAAACCTAAGGAGTTTGTAGAGGTCAAACATCGTGCAATAACATCAAGCATGTTTGGACTTGGTGAACATATCACGATAATGTCCTATGCTCCAGAAAAAGGAAAGAACGTTCTCATGATTTCCAGTTTGCACAATAGCGACCCTATTGATCCCGCTTCTGGTGATAAAAACAAACCTAAACGAAAGGAAGCGTCGACTCTGTGGATCAACTTTGTTCACTGTATGATTTTGCACGAATTACCAGACGCTGGCTCATGGTTATTATTTTTCTCCCTTTTAAACATCACAGGGATAAACAGTCAAGTTGTTCATGTCTCTAATCACCCTGAGCCAAAATCCGATTTGAAACGGAGAATATTTCTAAAACAAATAGTACTGACGTTGATCGGTGAACATCTGCAGAGACGCTCTTATCAGAAAAATGTACCGGAAACTATCCATCAAAGGCGACAAGATGTAGCAGGAACTTCTGAAGCTACATCCAACGTAGAAGAGATACCAAAAGATTGTTCGGGGTATAAAAATAAAAATAAGTCTAGGTTCTATTGCTAGAAATGTAAATCTTTAGTTTGAAGCACGCGAAAATGTTGTGCTTTCCGTGTACAAATGCCATCCTGGAAACAAATTTCCATGTTAAAGAGGTTTGATTTAGTTTTCTGTTTCTTCGGGCTGTCGACAGCTCCGCTTTCTTATTTTTTCTTATTTTAGATAGGTACAAATAAGAAATTCTTATTTTATTTCAAGTATTTTGACTAAATAAAGCTTTGTTTGAAATAATAAACTAAAGAAATGAATATTATGAATACGGAGTCTAACAGACTGCGCGACCAGTGCTGTCAGAGTATCAGGCGCGACTAGCATAGGGTAAACATTAGATATTGTTTATACAGGGGAAAACGTACATTATTCCTTCTAAATATCGAAAATAAACCACTTTATTTTATAAAACAATGCAAGTATAT